AACCTTACTAAATAAATAAATTTCAGATCAAGAGTTACAAGCTGGAGTCAGAATCGAAATTTAAAAAATGCTTGTAACAAAAATGCAAAAATTCATGTACTTAAAAAAACACACAAGGTTTGCTTCACACTCTAAAGACTTGCTTTCACAGCTTTGAAGAATTTACAATACAAGCATATTGTCAGCTATCATAATTTCTGCAGGTCTGACCCTGTCTCCCAGTGAAGGTTGGAAAATCAGCTGGGTATTTCCAAATCCCAAGACTGTAGCAATAAAACTATTGCATCATGTAAGTTGCTCTGGAGTGAAATTTAAGAGAATTTTCTAAAACCACAAGTTCTAAAAAATTATCAGTTTTCAACAGCTTACTTACCTAAGTACACATTAATAGTAGCAGTTAGACATAACACCTTAAAAAAGGAGGTGTGGGAAGAGACAAAAAGCCCTACAGCCCACCCTACAGGCTAATTCTCTTAATGAGAAAGTTGACATTGTTTCACAAATATTAATTTCCACTACATTTTCCATCTGGTAGCTATTCTCAGTTAGTGATCCGTTGCAAATACAGCCATTTCAGCTTACACTCACTCAAAACAGCATTCAGCTGCTAGGTGAGATGCTCTCGACTACAACCAAAGTTGTTGTGCTTCACCCCAAAATACATAAATAAAAGAACAAGAATAGGACCCCTCGCTTTAGGGGTTTAATTCCCCATTCCATCCTTACATATGATCTTTTGACAACTCAAAAAGTTTAATTAAAATTACATATTGAAATCATTACACTATTCATATTTGAGTTCTTCCTTACTTGGCACTTTTTCTGTCACTGGCTTTTCAAGAAGCAACAACTTGCCTTTCAAAGCTTGTCTCTGTTCATGAAACAGTAAATGGGGCATGAATTCTTATGATTCTCACCTGAGAATCACTGGGACACAGTAATTAGTACCTATCATTTGATTTGCCCAACTACTGCAAGAGCTGTTCATAATGCTTGCCTGCAAAATCTCCCGTGGCATCAGCAAGAGATGCTCACTGTACCTTTCTGTCCTCCCAAGCTTGAGAAAACTGAAATGGTTTTCTCTTACATGAACTAAAATCTTAAATCTGCAAGATTACCTATGAATCTAAACAAGGTTTTGTCTGTTAGAGACAGCTATGTACAAGCAGTACACTGCAGCATCAGCTGGTTTAACAGTTCTTAAGCAAACACATCTGCACCCAGTTCTTGGTTTCTACAGACTGATTCTATCACAGCTACAGAGAATATGCTATTTGATACTAAAAGGAATGAGCACTACACTGGAAAATTTAGATGGTATAAGGACAGGTATTCAAGTACTTAATAATTTGGCACTGCTAGAAGTGCAGGGGTGTGTCCCTATTAGCCTGTCAGGACAGAAAATGATGGTAATGAGGCCTTCAAAAGGCTCTTTAGAAGTCAATTTAGCCTTTTCAGAGATTTATTGAATGCGGTATAATTGCAAAGACTGCCAACACAAGAAGTTGAACGTGATCCAGAATATAGCTATAGAAACTACATCACGGAAAGCAAGTAAAGGCATTTGGACTAAAAGGATACAAGGACTAAAATTACAGGGAAAGGGAGCAGAGCAGCCTTATCCCATTTGAAGGTCTTCGTCTTAATGTCTTGCTTTCCCTAGTCAAACTCAGCAGCACGATGCACAAGGAGAACAGTAATGATGAATAGACTTTTAAAAGAAGCATCTCAATAGCATACAAAAGCTAATGGATTACTGGACAATACCATGGGAATAGTAAGGTCTCTAAGTTTTAATTATATTTTAAAGGGATGTCTGCTTCAGTTGTATTTTATGTGCCAAGTTAGGCTGGAACATTCCCTGATTAACAGGTATTGAATATGACTAGCAAAGGTATAAGAATACAATCAGGATCAGATTACTTTAAAGCAAATAATTAAACCACAAATTTATCTTAAGGAGAGCTGAAATGCATCATCAGCCAAGTGATGCTTTACAGCTACAACACCCCTACACACCAGGCATTTAAGAAGGGATCTAAAAAGGGGGCAGAAACATTTCAACATTTCACACTTCTGTGTTGGTCAAATTATCCAGGCATGAGAGTTATTAATTTCATTTCAAAAAGACCTTGTAGAAAGGTCACCCATGCATCTTCCCACCCATGGGAACACAACCATTAGCATCGTACTTCCATGAAAAAGGGTGTTATCTGATGCAATACTTCTGCTTTAGAAAGAAGCAGTCCTTTACTGACACCCTACCATAAGATACTCACAAGGATTAGAATGTGACAAGAAAAATATTTCCATATATTCTCTCCAACTCACCTGATGCTGTCAATCAGAATTAACATTTCCCCTTAGAAAGATAAGGATATATTATACATCTATTCTTGCAATATATGACATTATGTTAATTAATTTCAACGCACATAAAAATGAGACTATCAACAATGTTGATAGTAAGTCTCTGCTCATTGGCAAATAAAGTAGAGTAGTTTGAGGAAATAAATCACATATTTCACATAAATTTGGTAAAAATAAATGCCTTAAGTTAGATATCCTCCTTTATAATGGGCTAGCCATCATTGAGGCTTAGGTGACTGAACCAGAATCCTTATTTGGGTTGTAAGCTGTTAATTCTGTTGCTGAGAACACTGGGCTGCTTGTGAACATAGCCTTCATGTAATGGGCTGTCATGTCACTCAGCTTCCTCTGAGTGTATATCCGAGTATATATAACTGATTCATCAAGGGGAGCCTATGGAAATTATTATTTTAGTGAAGAAGCACATTTGAAGTAAGCAGTAAGGTAACACCATTAGCTGCTGCACAGGAAAGCCCTTGCATAGTACATCAGCCTTGTGAATTTCACTTTGTTCCTGTTTTGATTATTAACACACAATGTTTTTATTTACTTTTAATAGATACATAGCTTGTTTATGAGGACACTATTTGGTCTCAATAGATTCAAATACAGCTTTGGACAAATGCAAGGAATCAACTTTGTTCAGGATTTATACCAGCACCAAACAAGAGTGACAGAGCAGAGGCAGCAGAGGTCATGGTCAGAAGTTTGGTACCTCTATGGCATAAATCAGGTACTGCTGTCAGGTGCCTCCTCCCATTGCCTTGGCTTTCACTCTGTCCCATGCCATGGCTTTCATTCACAGGTGGAATCAGACTGCAGAGTGAGCAGGATGGAAAAGAACACAGGAAAAGAAAAATATTTTTCAGTTGAATCAGTTCCTGACCTGGGTCAGTAATATGACTGCACAAACTGAAGAGCCATTGGAGAGGGAGAGAATGGAAACTCCCTAAAGAGCCACTAAAGAAATAAAAGTAAAAACTTATGCTGAAGGACTTGTTTGCAGATTCCTTTCAGACCTGTATTTCTTGTTTTCACTTTGTGTGGTTTTTGTTTCTGTTTTGCTCTGTTTATTTTTTTCATTCTGACACATCCCCCAGTATATTATTGAGCTAATTCCTTGTCTTTCATGACTTGGACTATGTCAGTCCCCACTTGGCTAGGTAAGAGCTGACTAAATATCAGTTAAACATCAATTCAGTGGACAGACTTTCTTCTAATCTAGTATTTTGTAAGTTCTGGTTCACGCTGTGGTCCACCTGTTGATTTAACACTTGCTTAAAACTATTTCAAGAGAAAAAAAATAAAAACAACCAATACTTGGCAGCTTGAGCAAGAAGCTATGAAGTTGTCAAAAGTTATACCACAGTAAGTAACTTTCACACAGAAAACAGACCATACTAGTTTAAAACAGGTTTATTGACCTGTTTGCTATAATATTTTGCAAGATACTGTATATGACTTGAACTCTATATTCTGACATTTAATTAAGTAGTAAGTATTATTAAGTATTTTTACCAAATGACTTTATCTGAAATTATGACAGCTTAACATATGAGACTAAAAGAAGAGGTCTATATCATTCAGCAAACAGTTCAATATGAAGCTATCATGGAGCAACTCAATTCCTTCATTTTTAAAATGCAATTGCAGAATAACCTATCCACTTTCCAATTCACCAAACAATGTAGCACAATGTGATACCATTAAAATAACCAGCATGTGAATTTTGTTTATGCTTTACAACTAACCTATCTTTTACTGCTAGATTAGCCAGACGCTTCTCTCCTTAACAAAACCACTGACAATAGAGCACTAAGTACACTTTCTCACGGCAGCACTGCCAATTACAACTTGGTTGTAACAGTTATCAAAGACAGCATGAAACAGATAACTAAAACCTTACAACTACAGTACAATAGTACAGTACAGTACAATAATACAGTACAGTAAGTACCACTGGAGATATTACTAAATTCACCCAATGCACCCATATTAATGCTAAGACAAGTTCTCTGGATTATTGCTAGAGATACTGCTTTCAGATAGGAACACAACATATGGCTTTATGAAGCTGCTTAAGATACTGCATTTCACATATGCCTAAAGGGGCTCCACCAGACGTATTTAATTACAAATCAGAGTAAGAAGATAAAGCACTCTAATCTGGAAAATCAAATTAAAACACAAATGCATTCACACTTAGTTAATAGAATTTTAGAATGGTTTGGATTGTAAGAGACCATAAAGATCATCTAGCTCCATCACCCTCTGCTATGGACAGGTTAGATCAGGTTGCCCAAAGTCCCATCCAACCTAGTCATGAGCACTTCCAGGGATGGGGCATCCACAACTCCTCAGGATATCCAAATCCTAACACACAATATATAAGTATACTCTAAAAAAATTATACTTACGTATCTGTGATTGATTGCAGATTAATTATTGCAACATTATCAAACAAAGCTATTATTTCAGGATTTTCTTCATAAACCAGTTCAATTGCCAGAAAGCTGAAAATAAAACAAATCTAAGCAACAGACCTGCCCTGTGTTCAGGTTTCCTCAGATACATCCTTCCCTTTTTTCACCTCAAAGTCTTTCCTACACATAAGATCAACATTTACAAGTTTCCCCACACAATTTGTTGCACTGGTGAGACAAGGAGCTTGAGCTACATAACAGGATCCTGAGAAACATCAATATGAGCTCTTTCATATGTATTTGTCTAGAAATTCCATGCATAAACACACGAATTCAGCCTAAGAATGCCTGGAGCCCTCCTCAAAACGACAAAAATCTCACTCAAGTACTACTTCACTGAGAAAGATAAAGAGCTATCAGAGTTGCATGTACTTCTCTCAATGAAGCAAGGAAATATGGACTCAGAAGCCCATGGCCTGGAATAACATCAGCTAGTTCAAGTACGTGGAGTAGAAACATACTGATACTTGGCTGAGTTATTCTCCATCCCTGCTTGCAGCTGTTTGAGAAAAATCAGCCATCTCAACATCTACTTCAAGTTCCTGTAATTCCTTACCCTTACACACACACAGTTCAGACCAACTTCTGTGTCGAGGAGTCTCAGAAGGGGCTGTATCTTGAGAAATTATAAAATGTATAGTATTATAGGCAGTGTTTCGCAGGAGGGGTAGCTCTTCTATTTTTAAGATTTTCCATGGACAAGCAAGAAATCCTTATACCCTAAGTATTTAAGATTTTTAACATATTATTTTCAAATCAGAATCTTATAGTGTTTGTCCTACTATCGCTCTCAAATTAATATCTCTTTCAGGGCTTTCCCTTACCAATATAATATACTAATCAGTTAGCTTTAATAGGAATCCCAGACTCCACCAACTCATTCTTTCATCCTATGAAGGCCAGCCTTAAATTTAAGAAACTCTACAGCAGATTCTTGGTGTATTAATGCCTATGAACTTTAGAACTGAACATAAAATGAAGCATGACTATACAAATTGCATCTGTATATCCCAGACTGCAGTAGATTTCTCTTGCCATTGTTATTAAATCTATTTTTATTTATACTTCTGTAATGAATGCATAATGAAAAGGATTCAATAACATAAGCAGCAGCTGCATCTTGAAAGGTTATACAAATGCTACCCACAGAGATTCTACAGAATATGTAATACAAACAAGACTGATTATCATATGAATGACCCTGTAGAATTTAAAAAAACACAGAAATGCATAAGCAGAAAACCATTACATTTTATTACCGCATTATGACAAAGCTAACCCACAGATTGAGATTTTATAGATTACACAAATGTAATCAATTGCACATCAAGCATTTACTGGTACAACCCAAAAGAGGAGGAAGACAACAAAGTCATTTTGGAACATTCTCTGTGCTTCAGAGCAACAAAACAATCCCAAAGGTGCACATATGAAAAGGGCTAGCACATGACATCACCCTGCATTTCCTTTCAAAGTACACCCAATTCTCTAGAGATGTCTGTAAGAAGCACCTTTTCCCACTCAAATATGATGACCCCGTCCAGATTCTAAGCCTTACCAACACATGGTTTGCATCTATTGATAAACATCAGTTTAGTACATCAGCCTCCTTTTACTTGCCTCAGGTTTGCTTGTTCAATTAATTACTGTCAACACTGAAAGGAATGCAATCTCATTTATTACTGCTACTGCTTCTACTGTTCCCTCTTTTCATACTGTATTATACTGGTGAAGAAACTCTTGCAGATCCTCATGGCATTTCAAATATCCAGAACTGGTATCTTGACACCTTGCTTAATCATATTTTGGATGTTCTGTAGCCATCATCACTTCCAGTGAATGATTTTCTTTGTGGCACATATTAATTTATGCTGGTTAGTTCCCTCAATCCAGATTCCATTTCAATACAATGACTACCAAAAGCTAAAATACCAACTCTATGAACATGTGCCCCAGAGGTTCTGAGCCACACTCACCTGATGATTCTATGCTTAAAAAGATATGACCAGAGAGCAGGTGCAAGCTGAGGACTTACACAGCTGCACCCTCATGATGCAGGCTGCACATTTCACTGAGTACATTGTACCTCGCACAGTATGGCATCACCAGTCCCTGACACTTCCAGACATCTGTACCTCAAAGATTCTGCTTCCACTTGCTTTAAAAAATGAAACTAAGCACTAGCCAACATTTAGGGTAATAAGGAAGTAATACACCTTGTGGAAAGGCAATCCTACAATTAACTACATTATGATTTGACAGTTCTTGTAACATATCCTTTGGTACTCGCTATCCAGCAAGATAAAACTAAATTCTGTACAAATCGCAGCCACATCAGTGTCAAAGAATGAACTTGAAAAGTTATACAAGAATTCTTAGATTTATACTGGAAACATCAGAAGTGAGCAGTCTACTCCTTTTCTTTACAGTCCTAATTACCCCTTATGCAAGCTTATAGTCACTTAGCAACTTGGTGGTAACTGCCTTTGTTTCAAGAATATTGATAACTGGATTATGAAACAACTGATTCAGTAAAAATAACATCTTAAAATAAAGGACACGTCAGTCAAGTTACTCCTATTCTAGGAAATTCTATGTGTACTCTGAGTCAGATTGCTTTGACAGATAAAGCACATAGTCACGAAATAGCTTGACAAAGTTGCATGTGCCTATATTAAATTTTCAGATTTTTCTGAATATCAGTTCCATCCAATTCCTGAGATGGTTTCAATATGCTCAAAATAAACCCCATGCTTTAAAAAACATTTCTACAGTTAGGAAAACAATTTTAATTTCAACCCTCAAATTGATGCATTCTTGTTATGATTTAAATTAAACCGTCTGCTTAGGCAGCACTTTAAAGTTCAAAGAAGTTTCATTTCTTCTATTATATTTTCTATATATATGCAAATGTTTTACAAACTGTGTTATTAGCATGTCCCGCTACTGGAGATAAAGTATTTTATGAAAAGTCACCATATTACTGAATTTTTATCTGTATTCTTTTGCAAAAAATGCTGTGAGAAAACATAACAAACAGAGGAACTAGTTCTAAAGCTAATTTTAAAACATATGAAGGTGTATGCGTTGAAATCAATTTGTGTTCCTCTCACCCATGTTTACTTAGGCCCCAACACATGGATAATGTAATAGACTATTTGTTATATGTGATAGTATTTGTGGAGGACAAAAAAAGCTTAAGAGGCTGTAAATTCTCTTTTCATTGAGATTTAATAGGCAAAAGAGAATGAAGCATGAACAGTAAAGCCAAAAAGTTTTCCTAGAGGGAAGGAGTAATACCCTTGAACAGGTGGAAAGAAAGCAAGAGCACAACTAGCTGTCACAGGAGTTTACAGCAGAATTACAAACATTTAAAAGAATGCAATACAATTGTTTCCAGCGCTCCATCCCTATAAATGTGTTCTAATGAACACTAATTAACAGCCAAAAATATAGCTCTACAAGGCTGCTCTAGTAATCATTATTTCTTCACTGTTCTGTGAGCTTTTTACTTTTTTCAAATAGTTTTAAAATCTAGCCCTGTGGCCAAAAAAAATCCAAACATTTTTTAGAAAAAGCTTCTCTGCCCTTCTGTTATGTGCAGAAGCTTCGTGCACAGAGCTGACAAGCAGCTCCTAGGACTGCTTTAATCAAATATTACACAAATCAATTGAATACCTTTGGATCTCCTATTAGACAATTAGTAGTAGAGCATGGAGTTCACAAAACCTGCCAGAAGCAGCAAACATCCAACTGAAGAGCAGACAAAGTGTTCAGGGTAAATAAGAAATAGGAATTACGCACTCCAAGTGATTCCCCCTGGAATGAAGCCAAGTGATAGCATATCAAATTTTCACGGATATGGCATAGCGGAAGCCTGAGTTTACAGCTGCAGCCGGATTCTAGAAACAAAAGGAAAAACAAAGAAAAACAAAAATATGGTCCAAAAGAGCAGACGAGGTATTGAAAATTAAGAGCTTGACTGCAAGATGGAAAAGCCAGAAAGTGGAGTCTTTAAAAAGAGCAGAAAGGTAAAAGGGGATGGAATAATCACATGCAGGTAACAATCAGCAACATCACTAGTGTGTGTTAGCAGCAGAAGAAGTTGGCATAAGCAAAGGAGGATTAGTGTTATGTTTTGTTTCACAAAAGGATAGATTCTTGCACAGAGCTGGACAGCTGGAGATCGAGTTAAGCAGAAATAGCGACAAGTGGACAATGGCTTGTTACTAGTGAATATTCACATTCAGGAAGGAAGTGCGCAAAATTAAAACAAGAATTAACTTGAAGTGAAGCAACTATGTTTAGTGACTGAAACTCCTCCAAGAAGCAATAGCCATGGCTATATAATACAATTAATTAATCATAAAGAAAAGAAAAATGAGTATTTTAGAAGCAACAAACAGAAACCTTGCCATAGTAAAACTACCACACATTGAAAGACTAAAAGAAGTCGTCCACAACTGGTTTGTTTTAGAATAGGAACTACTCACAGAAAGAGGGAATTTCAAACATTTTTACCATATTCTAAAGGCATTACAGATATACAAAAAGGTGAAAGACACCATGAAACCAAGTTGATTGCCTTAAATTATGCAAGTGTTTTTTAAAGAGAGAAAAAAGCAAATGGGAGAAAGAAACACTGCTTGAACAGGTCCACATTAAGCAGACATGAGAGCCATCCTTTAAAGAAGTGACTGAACTGAAACAGTGAGAAACCACAGGTTATGGATTAACACAACAGACAGAGCAGAGCAGTGGATAGTCACAGATATATGTAATTTTTACAAGATCATATACACATCATTAAATTTTGAGTCCAAAGCAGTAGTACACCTCTGGTCATTCAAGACTTTGAGACTGTGCTACCTACCTGAATGAATAGTTAAAATTATTCTTGACACCATTTCTACTTGTTTAGGCTGCTGATCTGGATAATTCCAGCAGACTGTCTGAACGACACCAGTGCCTCACTACACACTATTTTTTTTTTTAATATAATTTAAAAATAAAGGCTAGACCAGATTATTATTTTAAGGCTACTTTCAACCTGGGCTGTTCTGCCATTATCTTGATTAGTATAACATCAGGACCGAAAAATTATTAAACAAGGAAACATTTTTATCATATTTAAAAGCTAATTAGAGCCTTTAATAAAAAATTGTTTCCCATCACATGGATCACAAGCACTCACAGCCAATACATACTTTAGTTCTCACAGTATTTCAGTACAGACTGAAAGCCCTAACTTACAAAATGGCAACATCATGCTCCAACACATCAATAGAGGCAAGAGAAGTATGTGGTTCAACCAGCTCGTGTAGTTGCACGTGTTGATTCTTTCTGTTCTGCTTTTCCCCTCCTGACCCTTCTCCCTGGCCAAAACAAAAGCTTTTTGACCTAAGCACAAAAATATTTTATTAGGTTACATCAGGTTCTGGCTAGAACACAAACAAACCTCACTTTGGGTTAAAAATGATATGAACACAGATCACAGAACACATCCTGGAGGTGTGAAAAAATGACTGGACATGGTAGCTAGTGCTACAATTTAGCTGACAAGGTGATGACTTGTCCAAGTTGGACTCAATGATCTTAGAGATCTTTCCCAACCTAAATGATAATGTGATTCAATACTTCCAAAGTACAACAGAAAATCCTAAGGCAAACTTGCTTACTTTGTTTTAATCTCTGGGGGGTCAGGGGAAAACAGGAGATGACAGCAAAACATATTGTTAAATTTAAATTAAAAAATATTTAGGAGTCCAAATTAATAAAACATGAATGGTTTTATCAGTCTATATATATAGTGGTTTATCAGTTTAGACTCTTCCTAATGCAACTGTAAAAACACTTTTTCCAGTTCCTAACAAATTTCAAATCATCTCCTCAACCCATTTTATATTCCCTACACTTAAAGATAATTTTTCTTCTTTTGTTTCCCAACTACCTTTCATTAGATTGAACATAGGGTAAAAAAGAACATTCCCTCAAATGGTAAAGCTGAAGGATTGAGTATTTGTATGGCAAAATTACATGTGCTAAACCTAAGAAAACTATTAAAAGAAATCATGATATGTGAGTACAAAAATAAAGCAAACCAGAAATTATTCCAGAACTTTTAAGAGCTCTCTACCTAGAAGTTATTTTCTTTTGAAGCAGATTCAACAAATTTCAGATGCCTAAAATCTCCTCAGATAATATTTTAGACAACTTTAGATATTCCCAGATACTTAAACAGGCAAGTTTTCTTCAGCAATCTGCCATTAATGCAAGTGAATTTTTTGCCTCACTCAGAAAAAGCATACTTTGTGCAAATGATTTAAATACATGTTGTAAACACTTCTCTTGCTAGAAGTAAGAGAATGTTCTTTTAATAGTTCTGTTTTCTTCTAAGTCATTGATCTAGGCACAGAAAACTGCTCTTGCCATTACTATCATGTTCCACAGAGTGACATGAAGCACAGATTTAAGAAAACTATCACAGCAGGGGCTGATATCATATTATCTACAAAAAGCATTTACTAGTTATTTCATCCAGCGAGATGTTTATGTTGCAGCTTCCCTTCCAGCTGAGCCTGTCCTCTGAAGACGGGTCTAAGCAGACAATATGAAAGGAGAATGAAACGCTTAAAGTAATTTTCCAGTAACTATTTAGAATTAGGGGCTAAAAATGCCTAAGGAATTTCACTGCCTGACAAGTATGTTCCACAATGTTATAAAGTTCTCTCAGACTCAGCCCCTAAAAATTTCACCCAAATGAAGTTTTCTTTAAAATAGTAACGTTAGAGAATTTGTAAGGTTTTAACTTTGTCATTCCCGGAGGCTACTGAGAGTTACTGTAGGCTGCTGAGCTCTAATGAACAGAAAAGAGCTGACTGGGTGTGCCAGACTTTGTCTATGAAGTTGTTCCAGCTAAACAGTTACTAGAGATTGTTTTAACTTGGACTAATGGGTAGGCTCCTCCCTGATACGAGGCCAACAAAACTTTGCATAGTTTATATTCTCTCAGCCTCCCCACCCTTCATATGTTGTTTTTTCCTTCTTGTTAGGATATGCATAATCAGAGTACAAAAAACAAGTTACTAAAAATCTAAATGTAAGTAGGCTGGAGGAAAAACAATGCCTGTTATAAATGCAGAGCACTTGTTCACAGTAGCACATACACATGTATACATGAGAGCATGAGCTTGTTTTTATTGGAACAGTCTGAAATGCTCAGATATAACAGTGAGGGAAGATCTGACAGACTTAGTTCATTAAGTAATTTCCTCCCTACTGTGTTTTTCAGGTGTGTCTTGCTACATGATTGGTACATGAGCTCTTGTGGCAGCAGTTCACATAAACTGGGGGGATAAAGGCGAAACACACTAGAAAACCAAGCATCATTTCTGATCTGTTCTTTTTCAATTTAACTTGCTTTAAAAAGATTATTTACAGATTAAAGTCCCAAACAGAAAATATTTAGACATGAGAACTGCATTATTCATCTTTTTCTTTGTCAAGGCAACAATAAAATCTACCTAATGATAGAGAAGCTTGATGTAGTATTCTAATCAGTCTAGCAGTTCCTTTGTTAAGTACTTCTTATGTGCTGCTCTGCACTGAAAATTATTCGATACTATAGTATTTAAAGGCCAGATGTATGGTGAAAACTTACGGGATTTGACTCATACATCTCAGAGTACTATAAAAGGGTAAGATTTTAATCTGATGTTTATCTACTAAAAGAGCTTGTAATACAGTACACAGTGGTCAGGGAGGAAGAGAACTTTTGGTTTTGTTCACAGGGTGATATTACTTCTAAGAGCAGAACTATACAG